TTTTTTTTTTTTTTTTTTTTTTTTTTTTTTTTTAATCAGTTTTGAGAGCAGAAACAGTAGATCCGTTCATTCTCGGTGGGTCTTCGATTGCTGTTGCGTTTGTTTATTTTAAAAAGCGTTTCTCCTGCAACAGGCGGGCAGGCCGTGGGTCCCGCGGGCCCCCGTGAGCCATCACGCCCGCCTCGTCCCCTGCCGGGCTGCAGCGGGGGGCAGTGCCGCCGAGGAGGCCATTTTGCAGCTGCTGAGGGAACGCGGCGGCGCCGCACGGCCAGGCAGGAGCCGCCCCCTCCTCCTCCCCCGGGCAGGTAAGCACGCAGCACCTGGCGGGAGGACGGACTGCCCCGCGGGGGGTGCCGGGCCGTAGAGCCGCAGGGTGCGGAGCTGGGGGGGGCTGCTGGCAGCGGGGTGGGGAGCGCGGTCCTCGGCTGGAGGTGCGGGGAGCGGCCGGCAGGGGGCGCTGTGGTGCCGGGCCGCGCGACGGGGCGCGGGGCTGCGCGAAGGGTTAAGGAGCGGGCGGCAGAGCCCGGCTGCCCCGACGGGAGGGAGGGGGGCGGAAAAAAGGAGGAGGAAAAAAATGAAATGAAATAATCGCGCCCGGCACGGAGTGGGGCCCTCCCACCTCTCCTCCCTCCTGCCCGGCCTGCGGGGACAGCGCGGGCCGCGGAGCCGCGGCGGGGCGACAATGCGGCGGGCGGAGAAAGCAGGAGGGGCAGCGCGCGGCAACATGGAGGGAGGCGCGGAGCGGGCCGGCCCCTGATGCGGCTGTTTCTCCTCCTCCTCCTCCTCCTCCGGGCAGCGGCTCCGGCGGCGCTTTCCTCCCTGGCGGCGGCTGGCGGCGGCGGGTGGAAATGAGCAGGTCGGCGGCGCTTCTCCTCTGCCTGCTGGGCTGCAACGTGTGGAAGGCGGTGACCAAAACCTTAGGGGCGCCCGAGGCGGCTCAAGGTCGGTGCGGGGAGGGGGGCAACGGCGGCGGGACCGGCCCGCTTTGTGCCGCGGCCCCGGGGGGCTGCGTCGCGCGGGCGGCCGACTCGGGGGGCCGAGATGGGGGGAGGGGGGGTGCGGCGGTGGGAAAGCCCTCCGGGCCCCTCCGGACGTGGGGCGCGGCTGCCCCCGCCCGCAGCCCCGGCCCCGCCGGGATGGAAGCCCCGCAGCGGGGGCGGTGCGACCCCCGGGCCGGGAGCTTTGTTAGCGGCGGGGTAGGGGCTGCCGCCGGCCCCTTTGTGCCGCCCCTTCCCCCGGCGCTGCCGGAGCCGTTGCGCCGCATCCGTCTCCCCCGGCGGCCATCCCGCCGCGGCGATGAGGGGCAGCGGCGGCGGCAGGCCCGGGGCTGCGGGCTCGTACCCCGGGCTGGCGGGACGTCTCCGAGCCTCGGTCGGGCCTTTTGTTCGGTGCGGTGGGCTGCCCGCGGGCCTGGGCGGCGGGCAGGGCGAGCCCCGGCGCTCGCAGCCGCTCCGGTCTCGCTGGGGCGCGAGCAGAACCCCGGCAGCAGCCCCCCGAGCCCCCCAGGCGCGGCTCCCCGGCCCCGAGCAACTTGCGGCCGTCCTGGGCCCGGCCGGAGCCCCGGCACGCTGCTCTGCCCCGATCCGCACGCGTACGTTGGACACGGCGTGTGCCCTCGCGATGAGGTGCACCTGCCCTGTGCCCCGCAGCCCGGGTTGGGATGGGGAGATGCTGCTCCGTGCCCGCGTCCCCTTGCCTCACCTCTTGTGGTGGGAGATCTCGATCGGGGGCCCGGTGCCAGCACCGTGCCCACCGGGACCGCAGTTGTGACAGAAGGCAGAAAACGTGTCTGTCTAATGGTACTCAGCACTGCTGAGGGAAACATCTCCAGCGTGGTCAGCGTGAGCCTCATAGCTCCTGTTGTCCGGTAGCTACGGCTGTCATCTGAGGTGGAAGCTTAGCCTTTGTGGTGCGTTAGCAGCTTTCTTCTCACTGTTTTGGGAGGAAAGGACACTGTGTGAAGAGTGTGCTCATGTCCTGTGTCCTCTAAGCTTGCCTGTCCTATGTGTCATTAAGAACTGGTGAGCAACATTTGCAACAAGAAAAGGAGTATGTTTAGAACCTTATTCGATTCTTACACAGCTGTATTTGTGGTGAGGTAAGATGTAGGTGAACCAGTGTTCTTGTACAGAGTATTCAGAAGGTACTGATATCTTATAGCAAAACCTAGCACTCTTGGCAGTCTGATATCCTGTTCAACCATCTTTAATGACATTGGCACTTACAGAATAAGAACTGCTGAACTATGATTCAAGGGCTGTTAGACTCAGGGCAGTATTTTAGTGGTAGACATGCCAGGGAGTAGCACAACTGTGTGCATCCCTTGATGCTAGCTCTTTAGATATCAAGCTGTACAGTAATTTCTGTATCATATAGGAAGTCTTTTGTATTTGTGGTCAGAATGGTAAAGTATAAGCAGAATTAGTGCTTTTCAGCTGCCGTGCTGATCCTGTCATCTACTGTCAAGCTCAATTCATTGTATATGGAAAGGCTTATCTTCATAGCTGCTACATCCCCATCAGAACTGATGGCTGATTATTTAAGTAATAGCAGCTATGTCAGTGAGTTGAGAACATTTATATCTAGATGAAATGGTCTAAATTTATCTTCAGTGTAAGAACATGTGGGTTTTTCACAGGTAGGATTATTTTCCAAATTCCCATCATGAGCTTTGGAACTGCACATTAATAATGGTTACATCAAACTGATCCAGTGCTGAAGTGAATTCTGTTCAGCTGTGATAATTAGTTACCAGTTCCTTATCGTGGGTTGTTTTTTTTTGTTTTTTTTTTTTTAAAGTGAGATGAGGAGCTGTAGTTTGCATAGTCATAAGGTGTGAACGTCTGGGGGATGGGGTTGTAGTGCCAGTCGCATTCCTTGTTTGTATGCTGAGCACAGTAAGTGATAAATGCTTATACAGCTTAAACCAACTGTTTTTCTGCCCTGCTCTTTTAGCACTGTGGTGATAATTACTGCTACAGGTGAAGGGCACTGTTGCCAAAGTTTAGGGATGTATGCAGAGGGTGTTCTTTCCTACCCCTCGTGTCTGGGAAGAGTCTAGAATATCGAGGGATCACAGTAAAAGTGGAGGTGAGAAAACCAGATGCCTTTGTGGACTAATTGCTTCAACTGAAACATTTAATATTGAGTAGATTACAAGAGATTGGGGTACAGGCCTCCTTGTGATGGAGTTGTTAGATGAGACCCAGTCAAGATTTTCTATGCCTGTGTCAACAGGCCACATTATGTGCTGGACTTGGAGCTGTTTGAGCGTGGGGCCTGTGGTTGCTGTTCTGGTTAAGGATGGAAGGTGCCACTCTTTGCATCTGGTATTTCTCTTTTTCTTGCTGCTCTCAGCCTTACATTCAGGCAGTTCCAGCCTGAAAATCTGCTTGGGTAGGCCTATTACATAATTTGTGAATATGGAAAGTACTGGTAATTAAGGTCTGCACTTAGTACCTATTTAGAAAATTGAATGACTTTGGCAGGCTGTTACCTTATTTAGTGCATTATGCAGATGCATTGCGACCTCTGAAGGTCGCAGAGGTAACCTGTAAGTTTCTACAAGTGAAATAACTTTTTTTTTTCTTAATGTTTACAGTAAAGTACATGCAGATAAGTTGTTCATTATTGTCACTGTTGAAATTTAGCACCTTGAGAGTGAAGTTGTTAGAATTCCAGGAAGATACATTTAAGGAGTGATAAGACCTCTAACTTCTCTCAGATGCCTGTGCCTGATCAGTGTTTCAAGTGAGGTCTAAATTGTATTTGTCTTAGTTGTTCTATTGTGTGTTCCAAAGCTGAAAGTGGTTTGAACGCATGCTAAAATGGATATATAGAAATCTTTTTCTTAAATGAAAACAACAGCAAAAAAAAGAACCTGTGAACAAACAAAAAGATACAAAAGACCCCATGCTGCCCTTTAAGCTGCATTATGATGAATTGGTCATTTGCCTGAGTGCAGACAAACTGCTCAATGTGTTCTCTTCGTATGAACAGATGCTTTCCAACTTTGGGAGCCCTGGCAAAGCAGGAATTCAATAGTTGTATGAGGGGGTAATGCTAACTCAGGCTGAACTGAGACAAAACCAATGTGATTGGAGAAGAGCTTAAATTTCGTTGTTGTTTTTGAACTTCACTTTGCAGTAGGTGATGATGTATCATTCATAGATTCTAGGAAAGATCTTTTAAAAAGAATACTGGCTGCTATGTTGTAGTGCAGAAGTCCTATATGGTTTTTGTCTGATGCAAAAAGTATTGGTTTCAATTAGTCTTCGTTGGTCTTTAAGTTTTATTAGTTATTCTAACCTAAGAAGTTTTGAAATAAAGCATTTGAATATCAGATAGCATCCAGTTCAAGGACTGCTCTACCGATGGATGCATAGGCCCAGGCTGTCCCACCTTTGTAACCATGGGATAAGATAGAGCAGATGTTTTTTTCCTAGTGTGGTGATGAATAGAGGTTCATCTGTCACTGCTTAGAATGTGCTACCTTCTCCCTCTGTGTGCCTGGACAATAGGGAAATTGATGCTTGAGTGCTACTGTTTGGTTTTGCCTGCTTGCAGTCAGCCATTACATGACTTGACATTGTGAAAGCTGATTTCACAATGCTTCAGCTGGACATTTTATGAAGGCTGCTTTTCTGGACAGCTCAGTAACAGCTGCAAGGAGACCCTCACGCTCTTGGCTTCTTTCTAAGATGGTTTTGCTGAGCTTCCAGTTTTGGCCACAGTGATAAAGATTTGGTGATGTAGAAATAGCAATCTTTTTCACCTTGCACTGCTGTGCCATCTCTTCTCAGTCTTCTCAATTAGTAAATTGCTGATGTCCTTCACATGCAAACATCTATTTCATTGAGACCACAAATGGACTTATCAGAGCGTAAAGTAAATTGCTCTAAAGCAGTACAGAAGATGTTGCTTTCTTTTAGTGAAGGAGCAAAATGTTTGCTTAGTGCTAGATAGTATTGTGAAATGTCAACGAAGGGGATGTATTGGTTGGTTTTATCAGTTATCAGATCAGGAGAAATAGTAGATTTTTTCATGCTTAAACTGCTAGTGCCTGTAAATAGCATGTCTAGAGCTGGAACAAAAGAGCAATCACCTCTGTGAGTGAGTGGTGTAAAATTGCAGCCTTTCTAGGGGATGATCATACTCACCTTTGTAGTCTGCAGAACCTAGCAGTAAGTTGTTCAGCTCACCTTGTGTATGGCTCAGAGCACCATGGATGTGCTTGTCAGGTGATGGCAAACACACGTGGCTTCCCTGTGGTCCCTTGTTTGCTTCTGCCTTGAGATGAGCTAATTGCTAGGTGTTACCTAACGCACAGCCTAAAGCAACCTGCTCCCTCCTTCCCTCGATCCCTCTCTGTGTTTTTGGTTCTCTTTTGTTGAACCTCCTACTGACTCCTCTTATTATATGTGACCAGAAACCTGATCCATGGCATTTTTAGGGACTGTTGCAGTGCCAACTTCTGGCAAGTGAATGGTCTCGAATAGCAGTCAACGCTCTACAGGAGCAATGAAATGCAGCTTGACTATATGCCTGGATTTTTAACAAAAGCCTGCATGTCTGTATATATGTGTGGGGATGGAAGGCTAACTGAGCTTTTAGGTTTGTTGGAAAACTTGAGAGACCAGTGGCTTTGCTGTGTTGCAGGGTAAGAGTGTCACTGCCCACTGCCATTGCAAACTTTAGGTGGGTTCTTTTCTCCCATGAATGGGCAGTGACTAGTGACAGTGTTACTGCCTGCAAGAACTGGGAGCAAAATGCATGGCAGGGAGACTTTGTGCGTGGCTCTGGGCTGCAGAGACCATTGCTACAAGCTGCTTCTAGTACCTTCGTTTCCTTGGGTATCACCTTGGTGTGACAGCATACTCTAAGAAGTTGTTTACAAAGGCACTTGCAAAAAAGAAGATGAAATACACTGTAATGAAAATAAC